TGCAAAGAAATACATAATTTGAAATTTGCTGATTACATAAGTATTCAGCCCCTAAGTCAGTACTTGGTGGAAGGATCTTTGGCAGCAATTACTGCTGTAAGTCTTTTTGGATAGGTCTCTACCAGGTTTGCACAATGGGATGGAGTAATTTTTGCCCTAGCAAAATTGCTCCAATTCTGACAAGTTTGTTGAGGATTGTTGATGGACCGCAATCTTCAAGTTTAGCCATAAATTTTGTATTAGATTCAAGTCAGAACTTTTGCAAGACTGTATAATGTTGATCATAATTTTAATTGTATTACATACATTTTCGGATAAAAAGGCAGGTAAATAAATTCTACGGTATTAAGTGAAATTTATCACTGATCTTCAAATCGGGTCTCCATATCCGTGATGAGCACAGCACAGATAGCCTATTGTGCAGCTTTGAGCCTAACAACAAACAAAACCCTTAAAAAGAACGTAATTGGACATGTATTATTTTTACAAATTTCTAACCTTTTGCTCCAATGTCTCTTTTCCTCTAGCCACAGCATTAACTATGACTTCACCATGCACACTGCCATTTCTACCTGTAGCACAATAAACAACACATAAATCAGTCTTAGAGAACATAGCAAAATTCAGACAGGTAAGTTATTAAAGTACCAAGAAAAAATATTAATAAAATAGTCATTGCAGACAAATGAGGCAATTAAAGAACGTATGCAGACATGTATACAAAATTGACAAACATTTTTATACGTTTATTATATTTATTTGCGTATATATATATGTGTAAACATGATAACTTTAAGTGTTATTATAAGTTCACCAAATATTTGGAAGGGTCCTACAGCAGCACATATAGTTCTGTAATGAAGAATATAAACATTCCTTATAGAATATTACATTACTCATGTCACCTACTGAAGTCTCTAGCATAAGGGGTCCTGAAGTTAGCAGCTTAGATAAAATAATTATTTGATCTGAGAAACGTTTCTTAAAATATTCTCATGTCATGAGAATTAAATCATGCCAGAATTTCTTGTCGTGAGATGTACACGTTAGCAAAAAGTGAAACGCCATTTTCTTGGTAAATTGATAATAATGGTATTCAGAAGTAAGATTTATAAACAATTATTCCATTATGCTGAAATGTATCAAATAATGCAAGATCATGCCAACAACAAAAAGAAAAGGAGTAATGAAGTGAATGATTTATCTCAATACCAGAAGGCCTACTTCCGCATAGAACAATGATGGTGAGAAAACTGTAACAATTTAAATCAGTAAAATAATTATTGGTAATTAGGACTCCCCTTTCTTGGCAGTTAGTATCACCTTTTACCTTGTATGTATTTTAAACGTGACTAAATAATATTCTGGACAAACAAAGCTATGTTTTACAAGAACTGTTGAGTTGGTCCCTCTGTGTCCAGGTTGCCTACATAAGTGGATTACACTGATGACAAATCATACTCTGTTTTTATAACCTTCCGCGAAAAATCAAACAAAAGTGTCATTTCAATGTTGTACATGCAAGAAATAAACAGGTACAACCTAATATAATAACTCTTAAAACAATTACAAAAACAAGGCTAGCGACGTTATTAACTTTTGTTTGTTTGTTTGAAGTTAAGCACATAGCTACACAATGGGCTATCTATGCTATGCCCACCACGGGTATCAAACCTGGTTTCTAGCGTTGTAAGTGGATGGTCTTATACACAATAATATACTTTGTTTTTTTTTTGCTAAAAAATAACTTGAAGGTAGACCTCACCAAAAATCGCTCTAGTAGTTACGTTTTCATAATAAATCATGAAACTATTCATAGTATCATATTAGAATGTATTTGTAAGTTTATTAATTTACCTCAGAAAAAATGATACCAAGTTTATTAAAATTGTCCTGGAAGAGCGGTAAGTCTATGGAATTACAACGATAAAGCCCGGGGTTCGATTACCCGTGGTGGACACAATAGACAGCTTAATGTGGCTTTGCTCTAAAACAAACAATTAAAACTAAAATGGCTGTTGCGTGCATATTTTTATTTCGAAAGTATGTGGTTTTTATATCATGAACTATTTTCTGTCAACTCTACTAAACGCTCCTCTCTTCTTTTTTTTTTCTAGCTTCAGTTTGGAATCGCAATAGCTTTAAAAAGATAACCAGGATAACTACTTATTTTAGTTTAACACGATTCTATTTCACTGTTGATATTGACAACGAAACGTTCTACACTTACCATCAGCTGTTTTGTTTTCAACCAGAAAACTAATGATAAGCCTACTTCCATCTGTTCTAGGTGTAGGTCTAACATAAACAACATCGTCGGCTGAAAAGGGCTTGCTGTACACACGCGCATTCGCAACTGGGTCATTCGATGTACTGTTCTTCTGGAAATGTAACAATATGACAAGCACTTTATAATACACCCTCAAACAAACTGCAGCGCCACCATGCGGTATCTCTAGTGAAAAATTCATATTCACTACGACCATGGTGCAGAAACATGTTAAACAGTGTTCCTAATTTTCATTACGTATTATATGTATGTATGAGAAAATCTTCTAATGTAGGTTTTAAATAGCACACAACCATTCGAACTCATTTCGATTTAATTTTCGGGGAATCCGGTGGTGAGGCACTGGGGGGCACGTGTTCTCCATTTTCATCAAGTATCAAAGTGCCCCTCTGAATGGGAAATAGAGACTTGTGTATAACTATCATGAAAAGTCAGTTTCACGGTTAGCATAGCAAACAAATGTCCCCAGACGTCGGTGCCCACCTAAATTCAAATATGTTATGCCACCTATAATTAATTTAACATAACAGCCAACCTTGAGTTAAATAAGTTACTAGATGTACTCGCGCAGGGTCCCCAAAAGTGTTCTCTTTCAAAAGTAAATAAAACTAAAATTAAGAGTAACAAATATTGCTTTTGAAGTTCGTATGTCTTGTTGAGTTGTAGCCTACAGAGTGCATAATTCTTCTTGTGCGACAGTACAAGTTGCATAGTTAAACGTCCCTTATGTAACGTCATTTTAGTGTCTTCTAACACACTACTGTACAGTGGTGCGAGTGGTTAAAACAGGTGACGTATTCGGGCGGCCTTCGATCCTCTTTCGGGGAAGTTAATAATTTCAACTGAAAAAACAACAACAAAAAAAAGCAAACCTGAAATATATACAGTCTTAATAGCCTATGATACCTTTAGTGTGTGTATTTTATCAAAGTATCATAAAACATAAGTTTTTAAAAAGGGGTGGGCAACTAGAAATGTATGTAGTATCATAGTTTCACTCAGAAACTCTTCATTAGTATTATCATGTAATTCAAACAGCTTTTGAAAGATGTCGCCACTATACGAAATTCGTTGGTTATAAAATATTTTAAACTAACAGAATAATTATTATCTGTAGTTGTTTGGTTAGGGGTTTGCTCTTCCATGTCATTTTTTAAAAGTCACTTTAAATAGAACAATAAAAAAACATGGTTAGCATTCCTGAACAGGTAACGTAACCGTAACACTGAACAGATAATGTAATCGTGACACTGAACGGGTAACCTAACATGACACTGAATTTGCAGAGCCTTTCATGTCTTGGTTCTTAGGATGCTCGACTCACCAGCTACGGATCTCCGGTTCGAATCCCATCACCGAACATGTTATATTTCAGTCATGGGGTCGTTATAACGTCATGGTAAATCCCACTATTTTTATTACAGAGCAGCCCAAGAGATGGCGGTGAGTGGTACTGACTAACTGCCTTCCCTCTATTCCATCACTTAGGGACGACTGGTGTAGAAAGCCCTCGAGTAGCTTTGGGCGGAATTCGACAAACTGAATTTGCTGTTAATAATGCTACACAGAGACCACATTACAAATGTTTATTTCTTTAGTAGAAAATATATGATTAATTTTTTTTCATATGAAAATAAAAATCATTATAACTTACCATTTCTTCCGTTGCAACATCCAGAAGTTTCTCAAGAAGTTCTACCACAACAGTACGAAATCTAAATTCTTCGTATTGTATCCATTCTGATATCTAGAAGATTTATTTTATGTAATCGGAAGATGCTATAATAAATTGCACTAATAAATTGATAACAATTTAGGATTAATAAATCAATCTCTTAAAAGTTTAAATTATGAACACACCAAGCGTTAAAAGTGAACATTGGTCTAAAAGTTAAAACTAATCCAGATCCCAAAATATCGAGATAATTCTAGAAACAGGATACGTTTAGTCGTTTAGAAATAAATCTAGTTAATATTAGTCTTTGCAAAAGCAGTGTGTTTGTATGCTTAATTATATTTCATTTACTAATTTATTTTTATTAGACCGGATACGTGAAAACTAATGAACGACAAAAATATTTCGTTGTAGCCTAGGGAATATTTAATCTCTGATGAAGAGTATTTTATCAGTCTAGAAGTTTGGACAGAATAAACCTTTTTGTTTCCCGCCGTAGTTATTTAAAATACAGTGATTTCACTGTATGGACTATTTACAATAATTCCTAAGAATAAAAACCAATTTTGTGTGAAAAAAGTAAAAAGTACAAATTCACAAATGTAATAGAACTTTATAGGTTTTGATGTAACGTCCTTCAGTTACCACTAATAACCTAAAAACATCATGTTTTTGAATAACTTGTGAACATACGGTTACAATTAATTATTATTTAACAGTCTAGCTGGTAAAGTATTTATGAAATATTTCTTTTCTTTACCGAAACGTGTAATTGTAGTGAAAAGAAGGAAGGATACGTTAAGTTTCTACGTCATTCACGGATTTTGTCTATTTACTGAAATTACAGTTTATATTCTATTTACACAGCTCTGATTTTGAGCCGCAGTGGAGAAATTAAGAGGAATATGAAAAATAACGTTTCGATGAAGAATTAAAAAACTCGCAAATAATAAAATACTGTTGATGGCCATCTGTATGGACGAACGATATACACATTGTTGAAACAATGAACAACTAATGATTCCAGCTTACCTCTAGTCCAGGAGCGTAGAAAACGATTGTTGTAATACCAATCTTCACATCCGTGCTTAGTGTATCGTAGTTATACTCCTTAGGAAAAGAAGAATAGGGAACTTCCTGCTACCTCACCCCCCACAGAAAAAAAAGTAATGTTTTAATTCTAATTATTTTATCCCCTTCTATATTATGTTCAAATTACACTCAGTCTTCAAGAATTTAAAAGCACTTTACTGAATACGTCATTTTACAGCATTTATTCACAAACGGATGGAGAAGTGAGTTCATACGTATGAATACACACATACATGTTTGTAAATACTGTTTAATACACGATCTTAACTATAATATTTTGTACACCATTACACAGTTTAAGTTTATACGGTAAAGAGAGAAAAACTTGGTACGGTGTTCGAGGGTATTTTGGAATATATTGGACGTCAAGACCAGCATACTGTGTCATCTGTTCTATTATTGGTCGTAGATATAGCTCCATAAAAACATCTATAAGACCACGTTCGGATGTAATACATGAGTAGGGAAAATCTTATTTGTCTTAACTTCTAAAACAATGAACTTACAAGGTCGTCCCCCGGTTTGACAGCGGTAAGTTTAGGAACTTACAGCGCTAAAATCCGGGGTTCGATTCCCTGTGGTGGGCATAGCTCCACCCTCAATGGCACAGCGGCAAGTATGCGGACTTATAACGTTAAAACCTGGGTTTCGATACCCGTGGTGGGCACAGCACAGATAACCCATTTTGTACATTTGTGTTGAACTACTACAGACAAACAAAAAAAAACCTTATCTAGTTTGAAATCAATAAAAAAAATTAAAAACATGTTAATTAATTTATGTGTGTGTGTATATCTAAAATGCAAGAATTGGTAATATATTTAATAGTTACTCTGAATATAGATTTTCCTATTGGACAGTACTGAAGCTGACGTGCAAGAAAGTGTAGCTATCACGATTAAATGGCATATCACATCTTAACATGGCATACAAATTACACCGTTTACACTAAATCTTAGTGGCGTAGAAACGCTTTTAGTGCAGACCAAATACGTAAAAGATATATTTAAGCAAATGTAAAATTTGAACTGTGTATTTATAAGCATATTGATTACAAATCCAAAGAATTAATCATCTTTCTACACCAAAATCCGGGGTTCAATTCCCCGAATGGACAGAGTGCAGGTAGCGTACTGTGTATCTTTGCACTAAGAAAAACAACAACAATGTAAAACAACTTACAATACCATACTTAGCCCTTTCGTAATATACAGTTATGGTCTCTATATTAACTTGTTGGAAAGGGTTCAGAAGAGTTTTTAGAATGATTCCGGCGATGAAATGGATATCTCATAGGGGTAAATTAAAATCTCTTAACTTATTGTCCCTCGGTGGGTCAGCGGTAAGTTTACTGACTTACAACGTTAAAATCCGAGGTTCGAATATCCGCGGTGGATAGTCCTTGTGTAGCTTAAGAAGAGAAGGTTAAGAGGTGATCTTATTGAAGATAATTTGAGGGATCAATAAGATAAAGGCCTCTGAGTTCTTTGTACTACATCTTCAATATAACAGGACGAGAGAACACGAGATTAAGAATTGGGAAAACAGGCTAAGCTTAATAACTAAACTTAATATTACGAAAACTGTTTAATCTCGTTTAAGTCTTTAAGTTTTTAAGTGTTTAAGTCTAAGTTCAAGGAAGGTCCAGTTCAATCTACACTTTGATCAACGTGTGTTATTCGGAATACTAAGTTTATTTATTATATCCTATATTGTACAGCTATAAAATATGAGGAATTGAATTGTGGCCAACGACACTCTTTCTTCATTTCACCTATCCATGTATAGGTTTTTCTCACAGTGACTGCAAAGCACGTTCACAACAATTTCTTTGAGGTGAAATAGCACTATATATATTTGCCATATATATATAGTGCTGACGACGCCTTTCGCTCAATAACAGAACTCATCATGCCGGCTTGGCTACGACAAACATATAGTAGAGGTCTAGGCACAACTTATATTATTAACTTACATGAACAACAGCTGTTTTGGTGTCGTAGAGGGTGAAGTAAAAAGGACTCAAAACCTCATAGATACTAGTTAGGACAGTTTGATTTTTTTTAACAGGGTGATTAACTTATGGAATGAGTTGCAGTCAGTAGTGGAGGTGAGCACTTTACAGGGGTTTGAAAAGGGAATCAATGAGTTCCCGAAAGATAAAGAGCGCATTTACATGTTTCTGTATATTTAGTTGTGGATGTGTAAGGACAACGTTTAAGGACCAAATGGTCCCTTGTTGTCCGTGTATTATATTAAGATGTGTAAAACAGCGAGTTTAAAACGTATTTTGGTACATTTGTTTTAAGAAATTCTAAATAAAAATAGAATCATGTAAAACATAAGATGTCTAACGAACACACAGGAATTTTGAAAATACAGATAGGGGTATCGAAGTTACTCAGAATATAAAAAAAATGCAGTCTTACGTTAAAATATTTGACATACAAATAATAGGTAATTATCGTTATTGTAAGTGAAAAAAAATGAAGATTAAAGATTTTTACATTTTTACAATTTACATGATGCAGTAGGGCTGGGTTTTTTTTGTACTTCTTACTGAGTCATGGACATATATTATCCTGTACAGTGAATTATAATTTTAATAACTTATGAATGAAAACAAAAATTAATATGCTGTAATATATCTTAACCTCACTACATTTGCCATATATATAGTGCTGACGACGCCTTTCGCTCAATAACAGAACTCATCATGCCGGCTGGGCTACGACAAACATATAGTAGAGGTCTAGGCACAACTTATATTATTAACTTACATGAACAACAGCTGTTTTGGTGTGAACAAATCAATTAAATGAATTGTTTATTAACTTACATGAACAACAGCTGTTTTGGTGTGAACAAATCAAGTAAATGAATTGTTTATTAACTTACATGAAGAACAGCTGTTTTGGTGTGAACAAATCAAGTAAATGAATTGTTTATTAACTTACATGAAGAACAGCTGTTTTGGTGTGAACAAATCAAGTAAATGAATTGTTTATTAACTTACATGAACAACAGCTGTTTTGGTGTGAACAAATCAAGTAAATGAATTGTTTATTAACTTACATGAGCAACAGCTGTTTTGGTGTGAACAAATCAAGTAAATGAATTGTTTATTAACTTACATGAACAACAGCTGTTTTGGTGTGAACAAATCA